CAGGACGCATTTCTGCCAGAAGACTTTCGGTTCCAAGATTCATTTCTGAATCTCTGAGATCATGGCTATTAAGCAGTTCGATCAGGAACCAGAGAGGCCATGCCTCCAATTATACAGCTGAGCCGGAGGTGGTTTGTGGGTGTGACTCCCACATACCTAACTTTTGGCCATTTACTTTCTTGGTAAACTTTGCCCCAAGTTTTTGGGGTCTGGCCAAAGGCACAGCAGCAATTTTGGGGTATCTGAAAGTCTGACATTGCCATCAGGCTGCTGATGCACTCACCTCATAGGTAAAGATTGACCTGATATTTATTTATATTTAAATATATTCATCGATTGCCTCGAGCAGGCCCCAGCAACGTCTCCATCCTAGCCCTGAGATTATATTCAAGGCTCTTTAGGAGAATGAGTCCCATCATTGTTACTGGTATTTGGCATATTGGGTATGCCAAGGGGAGTTTGCCAGACTCTGCCCTGTGGGCAGGCTACATTCGGTAACCTGCCAGTTTGTCCAAAGTAGGAATGAGATAATAAGATGTCATAATAAGATGTTGCGCGGCCGCGAATGTGGCCACGCGGTTACGGGAGCTGGGTTTTATAGTCTCTGAGTCTTGGCCGCTGATGGGATTACATGGCGCCAGGGGGCCAGTTGGTGGGTGTGACCCCTGCCTACTGGAATTTGGAGGATCTGGGTGGAGGATGCTCGGCCAAAATCCGAGTAGGCTTGGAGATCTAGGCCCCGGAACCCGCGTGACTTTGTCCCTCTGCCAGTACCTTCATGTGTGCAGAGAGTGGTCTCAGCATGGTGGTGGCTGGTCCTGGAGGTCTTTGGCTGCCGGAGCCCTGGTTGGGGCGGGGAGGAAAGCTCAATCCGCTCCCCTCCAAGGGGTCCTGGCGAGCGAGGACAGTCAGGCGCGGGGGCAGAAGACTGCTTAAAAATATTAGTTATTATTAATTTTGGCCACATCCCACAGTGTTTCGGAGTGAGCCTTGGCAGTTCTTGGGGGGCGATAATTAGTACTGGGAAACAAAATGGGGCCAACAACATGCAAGGGAACTGATTTTGAATACGCTATTAAAAAGTATCTCAAAACAACAAAAAATATTGCAGTCATCTTTCTGAACTAGTAGAATGACTGAAGCATAAAGTGGAGTAAGCACAAATGATGGTTAGACCACTGGTTTTTCATATGGAACATGAGTTGTATGAGTGTACCAAAATGCTCAAAAACACTGGGACTGAAACATGTATACATAATTAAGAAATTTCATATTTTCTACCAAATATTACATTTAGTAATTATTAACTGTGACTTAAAACTTCAGTTTTAAAAAGTACAGAAATGAAATCTCTGATATACTAACATGAATCATAGCTGTGAATTGAGAACTATTTTCAACTATAAATATTACATACAAAATATGTAGCACATCTATCTTTAATAATCTCTTAAGTTTCATGTAATATGTAATATAACTGAAATTATTAATTACTAGGAAGTTTCTGTCAAGCTACCCATGACGTATTTGATATGCCAAACATAGTAACAAAAAGTCTCACAATGGAGACGTTACTGGGCCCACTGGAGCAAACTGATGAACAACAGGAGGAGAGTGCGACAGTGCGACAGTGCTACAGTGCTACAGGAGTTTCTAATGAGCATTACCAATTTGTTTTCATGGATTTGAATATTATTATTCCGAAAATAGTATTAATCCCTATTAGTCCTTTCAGTTTAATTATGTATTTCCTGTCCTTTGGAAATCCTGAGGAAGACCTGCTGGTATGTGCTTTATTTTCTTAATGATGCACATGACAAATACTTATACAAAAATGAAACACTGTGTTCAAACGGAAGTAAATTTTACTAGAACATTCCTCAGAACTCTTATTTTATTTTTAGCACTACTGGTATTTTGCTGCTTCCATCTACAGTCAAAGCAAATAGTTGATATGCTTTTAGCACAAAGAACCCAGAGGCTGAATGTGCAAAATTCTAAAAAAAAAAAAAAAAACCAGAAAAAAAAACAAAAAACAGTAATTTCTGGCAATTACGATTTTTTGGCCTCTCTTTGGGGTTCTTCTATTCCCTGGGGGAGTGGAATCACTTCAAATTTACTAGGAAACAGACTCAAGGTGAGAATAAATGATTGACTGAAGTTGGTGATGTTGATTTAGGACTATTTTGCAAAAATGTCAGTTGTAAAACTCGTAAACTTCTTGTCAAACTTCCAGACTCTGCCAAAATGCCATCTCTTTCCATTTCAAGCAGGATTAGGCACCTCCTCCTTTGAATTACTATAGTATACTGACATAATCCTATGGACTTCAATCACCAAATTAAATTGCATTTAATTTTCCTCTTTATACTCATGAACAGAGAGAACTTAATCTCTTCCTTTAATATCTGGACAGGGGATTACCAAAACTAAGTTCATTTTCAAAACTAGTAATCAAATGGGTGTATAGAAAATGGCTAATAATGCTATTATCTGCAAAGCATAGGTTTTGAGTTGTTTTCACAAATTAGTAAGGAAACAGGGAAAAAGTTACTCATATATAATAGATGAAGAAACTGCCCAGATAGGTTACATGACTAACCAAAATTCAAACCACTAATACGTTATACATCAAATTCACAGGCCAACAATTTGGCAACAACATGCAGATAATAGTGAAAATAGTGAAACACTACTATTTTAAGGCAGATGATGATGAGCAGGCAAAAACATGCAGATGCTAGTCACCTATGTTGAAAACTCCAAGACTCAATTTAACAAATTCTTGTTTACTTAAATGCACATAAAACTGGATTTCAGAGTGTCAACATTAAAATAGGAGCAATTTGTTGCCAATTATTTTTCTGTAAAAAAGTTACATTCACTGTGAAGTCTGTAGCCGAAAAATCTATCCAATTAATAAAATAATACACATGACTATTATCTCTGAAATACTGATTAATAACCTCTAGACTACTAAGAAGGATAAGTTCTCAGAAATCAGTAATATACCACTTCATTTTACTAAGTAAAACAACAACAAATAATTTAATGAATAAATGGATATATTAACAAAGGATAAATACTTATGAGAAATTTTACAATTTAATAGTGACAGTACCAGGCAACAGAATTAGGGTTTCTTAAGTATAATAACTTATTGTTTTTGAAGCAAGTTATTACTGAAAAAATAACTAAGCACAGTTCTTGAGTAAAACCCCTAAATATCTGAATAAAAATTACAAATCTTTTAACAACACACAGGAATTTTCACTGAAACAACACGGGCAAAGTATACTAAAATCAACTCTGTATGTTGAATAATGATTAGTCACATAGCATAAAAATAGTGTTTCAGTATCCTTTCCATGATTAAAATATGATATCATTTATTAGATGGTAAAAATTTATAGATTTTCACTAATTGATTTATCTACTTCACTCTTGGATATAACAAAAATAATTTATTGGATTTTTCTTTTCTATGTGTTAACTGAGTCTATTTTCTAGTCCAAGTTCATTTCTGACAATTATTTTTGAAAATAAGTCAAGTAGCTATATCACCTTACTGTTCATCTATTAATGTCATGTTTATAAGTTTAAAAATGGGTTCGCCACATTTTCAGTAAAAAAAGTTACAATTAATAATTTTACCAAATAAAATGTTAAATATGTCTGTTTATATTAAGAGGCAAACACCAAAGACCAAAAAAGCAAAAATCAGGAAAAAAATAAAAATAGAAAAAAAGGAAGACTCTCACCTAAGACAAATGATCCTATTTTCGAAATATTCTATTTATTTTCTGTTGTCAAAGCTGAGACAAATAAATTCATATCTACAATTTAGCAAGTCTCACCAAAATAAAATCTTTACATGGCATAACACCATCAATTAAAAGAGGAAACCTTATTTAACAAATAACTGCATTATTACTTGGTAATTTTGTTTTGGTTTCTGGGCCAGGCTTCTGGCTCTATGCACAGGGGTCACTCCTGACAGTGCTCAAAGGACCGTGTGCACTTTTCGGGAGCAGCACGGCAAGCACCTTAAGCCATGCACTATCTCTCTGAGTAAACATATTTTGAGGATAGAAATACAATTCACACTGCAATGAAATAGTTTCCTGATATTCTGATGGAGATAATCACTATAATTTCTTTTAAAAATATATTAATCTTTCCCTACTTTACATAAACTGTTGCAGATATATTTCTACTATCACCAGAATCAGAGTCCATGATCAGGCCAAATAATTCAAGCCAGAGGCGAAATATTTCTATTGCATTTAGCAAAACCACATAGCAAAACTTTCTTTTTCTCTTAGCATAATAACTGACACCCGTTTTGCCACTCTCCATCTAATGTTAATATTTACTATTACCTGAAATAATTACTTTTGAAAACAGCACACATTCTAAAAAGAAATGTAAGTATTCAAGGTCATTTACACAGCATAGTCCAAAATCAATTTCTCATAAAAAATCAAAGAAAGTTACTCATAAAGCAGAGTATTTTAATGTATTAAATAAAAAGATAATTATAGATGTTAATTTTCAAGCTAGTGAAAATTATAATGGCATTCTGCATTCAAAGTAGAGAACAATTTATGTACTAATGCTTTCATTTACTTTAAAATTTCAGTAGATAAATTCATGTAGATACACAAATTTGAAGATCTATATAGAGCCCATTACATATTAAGGCAGCCAGCAATTTGTTCTCTATGTCACAAATATGAAATATGCATCAATTCCTGACAAAGGACTATAAAATGAAATCAGTAAGATGGATAGTTACATAAAAGAATAATATAAAAAGTTATATATTGGGAGTGGGGGACATACCTAGTAGTGCACAGGGGCCAATTGTAGTGCCCTCGACCAAACAAAGATCTGTTGCATGCAATGCAGATGCTGTAGTATGTCTCTGGCCTGGCCCAGAAGAAGTGATTTTAAAATGCAAGTCCAGATTTTGCAATGTATCAAGATGTATTACTTACCACAAACAGAGTTCTAAAGTTGCTGAGATCACCAAAAAACTCTTCGATGCTTACGGTCTTGGAGTCGAAAATAAAATATTCTCCCAGATTGTCATAGAGCTTGACCATATTGTTGTGCATGGTGAGCAGCTTTTCATACTGGTCTCTGGCACTCTTTGCAAAGCTGTATCTTTCAGTTAAGGCCAACAATCCAATAGTACCACAAAAACAATCACCAGACGTTAACACTGAATTATACCACCATTTCTAAATATGTGTGTAGCAGTTTGCTAGAGCTGCCATGACAACATACCACACAGTGGCTTAAATTAGAGGTGAACTCCCCACCTGCCAGCACCCCCCACCCCATATACACGCACACTTCGAGAGGTAGAAGTCATTATGAAGATATTGGCATGTTTCTAATGGTCTGTTCTCTTGGCTTATAGATGGTGGTTTCTCACTGTGTCCTTATATGATGTTCTCTGTTTTTTTTGGTAATCCACTCTACTCTCCATATATGGACAATATACTGATCAGAAGCCATACTAAGAACCTTGTCTGTAACCAGATTAACTTTTTCGCTTGGGTTTAAATCATTTTGGGGGTCACACATGACATTCCTCTGGGTTTACTCCTCGTTCTGTAGTCAGGGATCACTTCTGGTAGGGCTAGGAGATCGTATGTGGTGCCAAAATTTAATCAGGGTCAGCCATGTGTAAGGAAAGCATCTGACCCTCTGTACTATCCCTCTGGCCTCCTAATGGACTTTTGAGCAACTCTGTTAAGTGCTTATGCCTGGCTGTGTCAAAAATCACTCCTGGTGGTGCTCAAGGGCATATGGGATACCAGGGACTGAACCTGGGTTCCCAGGGGGCAATCCACATTCTTCAACTATAGCTCTGGCTCTCACCTGATTATATTTTGAAAGCAAATATTTTTATTTTTATTTTAAAGGACAAGTCTCACAATGGAGACGTTACTGGGCGAGCTCAAGAAAATCAATCGATGAACATCGGGAGGACAGTGCTGCAGTGCTACATTTTAAAGGACCTTGTTTTAATCTAAATTACCTCCTGAAAAATCTTATCTCCAAATGCTGTCACATGTTGAAATTATGGTGTTTGGAGTCTATACATGTGACTCTTGAGGGAACATGATTCAGAGTCATATCAGTGAGTTTTGAAAATGCATAAGTTCGACAAAACTGTAATCAAAAATGCTTTCTATGACATGCTTATTAATAAAATCATATTAACAGCAGTAAACAAAGAAAGAACCTGGGGTCAGGGAGTACAGTGGGTAGGGCACTTGCCTTGCATGCTGACTAACAGGGTTCAAGCCCTGGCATCCCATAGCTCTACTGAGGAAAGTGATTGCTCAGTGCAAGAAGTAAACCCTGAACATTGCTGTGTATGTTCTAAACCACCGCATACCACAAAAAAACAAAAAGAAAAGAAGAAACCTTTCCTATAATTTCTTAACAAGGTAATGTAGAGATAAATAGCAAGAGGCAGCGCCGCAGACCAATGGAGCAGGGTGGAATATTCATACACACAACCCATATGTATGAACATCTAATCTTTAATAAGGGAGCAAGAATGTGAAGTAGAGCAAGGAAAGTCTCTTCAACAAATGGCGCTGGCATAACTGGACAACAAAATGCAAAAATATGGGCTTAGACCTCGACCTAACACCATGCAGAAAAGTCAGATCAAAATGGATTGAAGATCTCAACATCAGGCCAAAATCTATAAGGTACATAGAAGACAAGGTTGGCATAACCCTCCACGATATTGAGGCTAATGATATCTTCAAAGACGACACTCCACTGACCAACCAAGTGGAAACAGAGAAAAACAAATGGGACTATCTTAAATTACAAAGCTTCTGCACTTCAAAAGATACAGTTACAGGAATACAAAGACAATCTACAGAATGGGAAAGGATATTCACCCAATACCCAACTAATAAGGGGTTGAATAAAGGATATACAAAGTGCTGGCTGAACTCTACAAGAAGAAATCATCCAACCCCATCAAAAAACAGGGTGATGAAATGAACAGAAACTTTCTCAAAACTGAAATCCCAATGGCTAAAAGGCACATGAGGAAATGCTCTACATCACTAATCATCAGGAGATGCCGATCAAAACAACAATGAGATATGATCTCACAACACATAGACTGGTCCACATCCAAAAGAACAAATCCAACTGGTCTTGGCGTGGATGTGGTGAGAAAGGGACTCTCCTACACTGCTGGTGGGAATGCCGACTGGTTCAGCCCTTTTGGAAAACAGTATAGACGATTCTCAAAAAATTAGAAATTGAGCTCCCATTTGACCCAGCAATACCACTCCTGGGAATATATCCCAGAAAGGCAAAAAAGTATAGTCAAAATGACATCTGCACTTGGTACATCTACACAATGGAGTACCACGCAGCTGTTAGAAAATATGAAGTCATGAAATTACATACAAGTGGTACTACATGGAAAGTATCATGCTAATTGAAATGAGTCAGAAAGAAAGGGACAGACATAGAAAGGTTGCATTCATCAGGGAATATAAAGTAACAAAATAGGAGACAAATACTCAACAGTCCTCAAGATAATTACCAGGAAGTTCACTCCATGGCTTGAAAGCCAGCCGCACATGCCAGGGGAAAAGGCAGATAAGATAGAGAAGGGAGCACCAAGTAAAGGGTGTTGGGAGGATCTTCCCAGGATGGGAGATGCATGCTGAAAGTAGACTATAGACTGAACATGATCGTCACTCAATGCCTCTTTTGAAAACCACAGCACCCAAAAGGAGCACTGTAGCACTGTCCTCCTGTTGTTCATTGATTTTCTCAAGCGGGCCCAGTAACGTCTCCATTGTGAGACTTGTTGTTACTGTGTTTGGCATATTGAATATGCTTGCCATGCAGGCTAGATACTCTCAGTAGCTTGCCGGGCTCTCCGAGAGAGGTGGAGGAATCAAACCCGGCTTGGCCGGGTCGGCCGTGCACAAGGCAAACGCCCTATTGCTGTGCTATTGCTCCAGCCTGGACGGCAAATGGCCTACTGCTGTGCTATCGCTCCAGCCCAGGTAGGAACTTAGTAGTGGAATAAGTTAAGTAGGGCTCATTTTATGGGACTTTATAGGATAACTTTGCTGCATTTGGATATGTGTGTGTGTGTGTGTGTGTGTGTGTGTGTGTACACAAAATATATTATTTCATCTCTGCTTTGGGGCAGGGATTGGGTTTGGGGATGGAAACATCTGAAATATAGTGGTGGGAAGGTGTGATGGTGGTGGGACTGGTGTTTGAATATTAAATGTAATGAAATATTGGGTACTTTATTAATTTTTTTAATATAATACACTAAGAAAAACAAGAGGGCTAAGGAGATGTCTCAATGGGCTGTGCACACACTGTGGGTATGGGAGGCCCAGGTTCAATCCCCAACACCACATGGCACCCCCTCTGCCGCCCCACCAGCCCACCCACCCCCACCATGGGGAGTGATCCCTGAGCTGGGACCCTGGAGAAGCCCCCTAGAACTGGGGGAGGGGGAGGGGAAGGACCCAAGACAAAACAAAAGAAACAAACTAGACTTAAGAACTTCTGTTAAGATACAATTTTAAGAATAGAAATGTTGGTAACAGAGAATAGAATAGCAGGTAGGGCATTTGCCTTTCATGTGGCCAAGCTGGGTTCAATTCCCAGCATCCCATATGGTCCCCCAAGCACCACCAGGAGTAATTCCTGAGTGCAGATCCAGGAGTAACCGCTGAGCATCAACAGGTGTGACTCAAAAAGCCCAATGAATAATGAATACTAAATAAAACAAACTAGAAATGAAGGCCACAGACAGGGAAAACAATTTTGTAATGCAACAAATTAGCTTTTTGCAGCTGTATTGCTAAGCAGATCTTAGCAGGTCTCAGCCAGCCGAAAACATTGGCTTTCGATATTTCCCTGGAGACACCCAATCAAATGCTTTGATCCACCCTGCAAAAATATACATACAAATTATTCATAACTGGTAACATGAAGAATGCCGACAAATCAATAAAAGACAGATGATCCTGTCAAAAATGGGAAAAGACCAAAAATAGGCAATTCACAAAAAAAAAAAAAGATCCAAGAGGTCAATATGCATATAAAAAGATGCTAAACATCAGTAGTCAGAGAAATGCAAATGAAAATGACTATGGGCAATTAATTCATTCACTAGTTATAAAAGGTCTAACAGTATCAGATGCTGGATGTGAATAAAATACAGTCAAATAGAGTGGAGAGGAGGATGTGCTGCGGCTGGAGAGATAGTCAGGGGTCAAAGTGCATGCCTTGTATGTGGCCAGCTTAGGTGAATGTAGCCCTAGAGGCCACCGAGCTCTGGGCCTCCCGAAAGGACCCCAAAAAGAAATACTGAGTTGCAATATAATTACATAATGATGACATAGCTGACTCCTGTAGCTGATCCATGCTGAGAAAGATTATACTGCACAATTCCAATCACTTAAGTTTCAAGATCAGAAAAAAATGGTACTATTGTAATAAAAAGCAGTAGTGAGGATCTTGATAGAGGTACTGACTGAGCAATAGTATAGAGAGTAGGGCGCCTGCCTTGCACACAGAGCCAGGAGCAAGTCCTGAGTACCACCAGGTGTGACCCCAAAATAACAAAACAAAAGAGGGCATGGTACTGACTGGAGATCTGACTGGAAGGGAGGGGAAGAATCTTCTGGAAGCCCTTCAGGAGATAGATACTCTCCCACAAAGGAGACACGGTCTCGATGTGGGTGGGGAACATGTGTCTGTATAAAAAAATTCAGGGGTGCGGGCTGGGTTGATAGCAGGCAGGGCATTTGCCTTGCATGTGGCTGACCCAGGTTTGATTCCCAGCATATGGTCCCCTGAGCACCGCCAGGGGTAATTCCTGAGTGCATGAGCCAGGAGTAACCCCTGTGCATCGACGGGTGTGACCTAAAAAACAAAATAAATAAAATAAAAATAAATTTTAAAAAATAAATAAATAAAAAATTCAGGGTGAGGGGCCCAGAGAGACAGGCAAGCAGCAGAGGTGCTTGCCTTGCAAACAGCCAGTTTCTAGCCCCTGAGCACTGTGAAGAGCTACCCCTAAGCACAGAGCTTAGAACAGGCCCAGAATAAAAACAAAATTCAGGGACCCATAGG